TCCTCCTCTGATGCCCTGCCGGCACTGCTTCCGGCCATCCTTAAGCCCTGTTCAGGGTCCACTCTGTGTGGACTTGCTAGTTCGAATTAGCAAAACGCTAATTCAAACTAGTTTTTAGTTCTAGACGCGTTAGTTCGAATTAGCGCTGTAGTGTAGACGTACCCCTAGATATGGAGGAACAAAGAATAGTCCTGGAGCACCTTAAAGACTAACAAAACATGTAGATCAGAGGTTCCCAAACTTTTCGGCATCACACCCTCTTTTTGATTTTTGAACCCGGCCCTCCCCCGAGGCCAGGAAGAGCCGGGGTTGCCTACCCATATGCGACAGGGGGGTTGGCGAGGGCAAAAGCAGGGGCGCAGCCCCCTAGTATCTATTTCATTTTCTTTCTCTTAGACAGGAATGAGACCCAGTGCTCCTGTATTGCTAAGGTCAACAAACAAGAGTTCCCAGGTGCTCAGTAGCACCTGGAAAGTGCTGACGTGGGTCGGGCTGGTGGAGTCAACTTCTCCCCTTTTGCTGTTTGGCTTGTAATGAGCATGCTCAGTAACACTGCTGAAGTCGCTGTTCTCAGTCTGCCCCCTGCCCCATGCCCTCGCTCTGTTGTCCTGTCACTACTGCTACATGCACAGGTCACACCCCCATCTGAAATGTTGCCACGGAGCAGGGATTTACCTGACTTCCCTCGGCGGGGGTGACACACAATGAGTGTGTGGGGCGGGACAGAAGGATTCCCACTGCCCCTGGTGTGGGCAAGGGGCTCAGTGTGCAGATGTGACACAGTGTGAGGCCTCCCCACATCACAGCTATTGGTGATCCATGGCTATGAAGAGAGTGCTCCCTCCCCCTCGTTTTAGGCCCAGAGCACACAGGGCTCACAAAGGGTCTGTGCTGCAGAACTTAGATCAGTTTAGACCAGTGATCCCCAACCTTTTGGGGCTGCCGGGAGCTCAGGGGTGGGGCCAACCATACGCTGCGTGCCTGGTGCCGGCGCCACCCATGCGCCGCATTTCTGGGGCCAGCGCTGCTCCTGTGCCGCACGCCCAGGGGTGGGGCTGCCCATATGCCACGTGCCCGGGGCCAGCGCCGCTCCTGTGCTGCACACCCGGGGCGGGGCCACCCATACGCCATGTGGTGCCACACACCCGGGGCGGGACCACCCATACGCCATGTGCCTGGGGCCAGCACTGCTCCTGTGCCGTGCGCCATGGGGCAGGACCACCCATACGCCGCGTGCCCAGGGCCGGGGGCCGGTGCCACTCCTGTGCCGCGCGTCCAGGGGCAGGGCCGGCCCCGATCACTTGGCAGGTGCACAGAAATGGTCTGGTGGGCGCCATGGCGCCCGCAGGCACCGCAGTGGAGACCACTGGTTTAGATGACAGAACTTTAGATCAGTTTTACAGGTGTGTATCCTTCTTCTGATTTCCCTTTTGTATTGAGGTCCCAGCCATAAAGTGCTGGGCACTGCTCGCAGCCACTGGCCCAAAACACTGATGGACTTTTATTTTTCTTAATATTTGACACTGTAATTTAAAGATGCAAGAGGAGGTAACAGAATCAATCACAGGCCTCTGGCTATAGACAGTTTGAGTTGTTCAGCTTCATTTCCCCCAAAAGCCCCATAAAATTCATCCCGCAACACTATATCCGACACACCTCCCAATTCACAGTAAGCCTCTAGAGAATATTCGGAAGATTCCCTTGCGAATTTCCTTCATTTTCACACTGTAAATGACTGGGTTTAACACAGGAGGGACAAAGAGGTAGACATAAGGCATAAGACTGTGCATCAGAGGAGGGGCATTTTTCCCAAACCTGTGCATAACAGAGACAGCAACTGTTGAGACATAGAAGAGTAGGACAGCACAGATATGGGAGATGCAGGTGTTCAGGGCCGTGAGGCGCTGCTCATGGGATGCAATACTTAAAACAGTCTTCAGAATCCTAATGTAAGAGAAAATGATGAACACTGAGTCCAAGCCATAAGTAAAGAGAACGGAAAATAGTCCGTAGATGTTATTGATGGTGGTGTCTCCACACGCCAGCCTCATCATGTCCGAGTGCAAGCAGTAGCTGTAGGAGAGGATGTTGCTTTTGCAGACTGGCAGCCGTTTAAGCAGAAGGGGTAAAGGCAAAAGGATGCTGGTACTTTTAATCACAACAGCCAGCCCGATTCTCACGATCCTGGGGTGGGTCAAGATGGCTGCGTAGCGCAGCGGGTTACAGATGGCCACCAAGCGATCGAACGCCATGGCCACTAAAATCCCCGACTCCATGAAGGAAAAGGAGTGAATGAAAAACATCTGGGCCAGGCAGGCGTCGAAAGCGATATCTGTGGAATGGAAGCAGAAGGTGCCGAGCACGGTGGGCAGGGCTGAGAGAACCATCCCGATGTCGTTGACTGCCAACATGCAAAGGAACAGATACATGGGCTGGTGGAGATTCCTGTCTACCCAGACAATGCAGAGAACAAGGCAATTCCCCGCCATGGCAGTGACGTATAACACAACGAAGGGGACGGCGATCCAGTGGTAAACCGCCTCCTGGCCTGGGAACCCGGTCAACTGGTACATTGCAGGCTGGAAGCTGGTGCTATTGAAATCCCTCATGATGAGCAGTCGCTGTCCTGGCCAGCTCCCAACCCCTGTGTAAATGTAAAATAAATCTGTGAGTTCCCCTGGGACCAGGGGACTTGGAATGTTCTTGCAGTTACACACTGACTTGCCCTGTCCCAATACATAAAAACCCTCTCTTGCCAGCCTTGGGCTGTCTTCCCCAGGGAAATTAGTGAGGACTTGTTTGGAATCAATACAAAAGAACCAGGCTCCAAGAATATATTTTCTACACTCCCTCATTAGCTACATCTAGACTGCAAGCCTATTTCAAACGAGGCTTTTTCGAAAGTATCTTTCGAAGTAGCTTCTTTAGAAAAAGAGCATCTAGACTACAACCAGTACTTTTGAAAAAGCAAGCTGCTGTTTCGAAAGAGAGCACCCAGGCAGTCTGGATGCTCTCTTCCAAAAAAGCAGTTTGCATGACATAGCGCCTTTTTTCAAAAGAGCACTTTCAGAAAAAGGGGTTCTTCCTTGTACAATGAGGTTTTCCACGGTTGAAAAATCTGCCACGTTCTTTTGATTTACTTTCGAAAGAACGCGGCAGCAGTCTAGATGCAGGGGAAGTGTAGACACCGTGTAGACACACCCATTGAGAGGGAAGCAAGAGATTCTGCTCTCAACAGTCCTGCCCTTTGTGATCAGAAAGGAAATTTAACCCTTGGAACAACTTTCCATGGGCAACTATGAATTCCCCATTGCTGGTAACTGAGCAGTTTTTCCATCAGCCCTGCTTCAACTGGAACAGGAATTAATTCAGGGCAGGTGTCTGGCTTGTTCTACACAGGACCTTGGAGCAGCTGTTCAGAATGGTCCCTTCAGGCCTTACATCTTTGACTCTCTGGCAGGACGAACAAAGGAACAAATCCATGGGCTTACTACAGAAGCCTCTGCCCTTTCTTGGGAAGATCCGGTGGGCTGCCAACTCACCTGAGAGACTACAACTCCCATGATGCCTTCAATCTAGTGGGGTATTGCTCTTCTCCAGGAGTGCCAGGTGCAGAGACAGCAAGCGCTGGCTCCATTTTGCAGAGAGGAGCTAGAGGGCAGGGGTGGAGCTCTGTCCACACCAGGAGCTGATGCTGAAAGCCTGCGGGGCTTTGATGGACCAGGGAGTGTCAGAGGCTGTTGGTGGCTGTCCCAGAAGGGGAGAGACTCTGGCCTTTCCTGGATCTGACTGAGAAGGGCCTGCGAGAAGGAACTGGGAGTAACTGGGACTGTGGTTTGGGCAAGTGCTTGCAAAGGAGCACAGCAGAGAGCCTGAGTCTGATCTGAGGAGAGGCCGAGCGATGTGCCCAGTGATCCAGAGCTGCTGACGTGGGGGCGGGAGCAGCTCCAGGCTTCAGAGGGGCGGTGCATGCTTGGCTGGACTGACCCACAGATCCTGCACAGTTCTGCCTCTACTCCAACTGCAGATCTTTCAGCGCCCACACCGGGGCCTGGGACTCTGAAATCCAGAGCAGGGTGCACCCTGGGGTGGGGGGAGGTGAGTGATGGCTGTGGAAATGTCGGGTAGAGGCATTTCTTTTATAGCCGTAACCTGTATCTGTAAATTGAGTTTATCCAACTGCACACTGGGGGGGTTACATCCAGAGGAACATTAATCTCAGTTGGGTAAACCCTGTTTTCTGAGCTTGTTCAGTAAAGGGGTGTTCATTGGACGTTAAGTACATTGCATGGACATGATCAGTAATTGGTATTTTGGAGATAGATCCCTGGCACAGATTATTATTGGAATGGGTTATTGCTGGCCCAAGTGAGCCCAGCGCCCCTGCCAGTGATACAGACCTGGCTTGCTGGGAGCTAGTCTGTGTCTGCGAGTGCTGGCAGGGGACTGACTCAACTCCTAATATGAGCAGCCCAAGGGAGCCAGAGTGCAGCCGGAGAAGGAGTTGGGGATGGGAAGGAAGACGATTGTATGGAAATGTGCTGGCTGGTAATTCTGTGACCTGGGCATTATTGGATATTATTTCCCTTTTAGTAGTTGAGTGTGTGTGTGTGTGTGTGTCTGTATCACAGTTTGTCTGTGACAATGTCAATGTGACTGTGTGAGTGTGTCTCTCTGTGTCTGTTCCTTAAGAACATAAAGACGGCCATACTGGGTCAGACCAAAGGTCCATCTAGCCCAGTGTCCTGTCTGCGCACAGTGCCCAATGCCAGGTGCCCCAGAGGGAATGAACAGAAACAGGGAATCATCAAGTGATCCTGCTCCTGTCATCCATTTCCAGCCCCTGGACAAACAGAGGCTAGGAACACCATCCCTACCCGTCCTGGTTAATAAGTATTGATGGACCTAACCTCCATGAATGTATCTAGTTCTTTCTTGAACCCTGTTAAAGTCCTGGCCTTCACAACTTCCTCTTCTGGCAAGCAGTTCCATAGGTTGACTGTGCACTGCATAAGAAATACTTCCTTTGGTTTGTTTTAAACCTGCTACCTATTAATTTCATTTGGTGACCCCTAGTTCTTATGTTATGGAAACAAGTAAATAACTTTTCCTTATTCACTTTTTCCATGCCAGGCATGAAAAAGACCTCTATCATATCCCACCTTAGTCTCCTCTTTTCTAAGATGCAAAGTCCCCCTCTTGTTAATCTCTATTCATATGGGACCCATTACAAAAAAAACCCTAATCATTTTGTTACCCTTTTCTCAACTGTTTCCAATCCCAAGATATCTTTTTAAGATAAGGTATCCTCATCTGTACACAGTATGTAAGATGTGGGCATACCATGGATTTTTACTGAGGCAATAAATTATTCTCTTATTCTATATCCCTTTTTAAATGATTCCTCACATTCGGTTTCCTTTTTTTGACTGCCGCTGAACACTGAGTGGATGTTTTCAGAGACCTATGCAAAATTACTCCAAAATCTCTCTCTTGAGTAATTGTAACTAAATTAGTCCCTATCATATTGTATGTTTAGTTGAGGTTATTTTTTCCAATGTGCATTTCTTTGCATTTATCAACATTAAAATACATGTACCAGTTAGTTGCCCAATCACCTAGTTTCGTGACATTCTTTTGAAGCCCTTCACAGTCTGCTTTGATCTTAACTAACTTGAGCAGTTTAGTGTCATCAGCAAATATTTCCACCTCACTCTTTACCACTTTCTCTAGATCATTGATAAATAGGTAGAATAGGATTGGTCCCAGAATGGACTGTTGGGGGACACAACTAGTAACCTCTCTCCACTATGAAAACTTACCATTTATTACTACACTTTGTTTCCTGCCTTTTAACCAGTTATCAATCCATGAAAGGACCTTCCCTCTTATCCCATGACTTCACTTAAGATCCTATGGTGAGGGTGTGACGTAGTGGGGGTACCTGGCTGGTTTCTATGCTGCTGGCTCTGGGGTAACCCCCACTGGCTGCCGTGGGTACCACGACCCAGCAAAACAGGATGAGTCACTATGCAAACCAGTGGCCAGACACCCCCCATGGAGAGGAACAAAGGAAGGTGGAATGCTGCCCTGGCTGGGGGGCAGGGCTGGAAGAGGGTTAGTTAGTTGCTGGCTGGAAGCATGGAGGAGACAGCCTAGGGAAAGGGGCTGGAGTTTAGGGGCCCAGTCTCCCCCATCTCAAGGGGGCCTGAGGCATCCTAGCCCAGCTCTGTGACCAGATTCCATCTGTGCTGTGCTGTATCCTGGAGAGGCAATAAACTTCCTCTATTCCACCAGCTGGTGCAGTCTGTTTGTGCCATTTCGGGGTGCAGGAGACGAGGGACCCCCAACGTGCCGTCACAGAGGGAACTTGTCAAAGACTTTCTGGAAATGTTGTTAGACTATATCCACTGGTCCCCCTTATCCACATGCTTGTTGACCTCCTCAGAGAACTCTCGTTGATTAGTAAGGCATGATTTCCCATTACAGAAACCATATTGGCTTTCTCCCAATAAATTATGTTCATCTATGTGTCTTTCAATTCTATTCTTAACTGTAGTTTTAACTAATTTGCCTGGTACTGATGTTAGACTTACCAGTCTGTAATTGGCAGGATCACATCTAGAGCCCTCTTTATATATTGGTGTCACATTAGCTATCTTCTCATCAGTAAGTACGAAAGCTGATTTAAAGGATAAGTTACAAACCATAAGCTTCAGGGAGTAGCTGAGTTAGTCTGTACAGAAAAAAAAAGGTCTGGTAGCACTTCATAGACTAACAAAACATGTAGTGGGTATCATGAGTTTTCGTGGGCACAGCCCACTTCTTCAGATGGACGGAGTTTGGTTACAAACCATAGTTAACAGTTCCTCAATTTCACATTTGAGTTCTTTCAGAACTCTTGGGTGAATGCTGTCTGGTCCTGGTGACTTGTTACTGTTATGTTTATCAATTTGTTCCAAAACCTCCTCTCCACATGTTTTGACCTCCTCAGAGAACTCTCGTTGATTAGTAAGGCATGATTTCCCATTACAGAAACCATATTGGCTTTCTCCCAATAAATTATGTTCATCTATGTGTCTTTCAATTCTATTCTTAACTGTAGTTTTAACTAATTTGCCTGGTACTGATGTTAGACTTACCAGTCTGTAATTGGCAGGATCACATCTAGAGCCCTCTTTATATATTGGTGTCACATTAGCTATCTTCTCATCAGTAAGTACGAAAGCTGATTTAAAGGATAAGTTACAAACCATAAGCTTCAGGGAGTAGCTGAGTTAGTCTGTACAGAAAAAAAAAGGTCTGGTAGCACTTCATAGACTAACAAAACATGTAGTGGGTATCATGAGTTTTCGTGGGCACAGCCCACTTCTTCAGATGGACGGAGTTTGGTTACAAACCATAGTTAACAGTTCCTCAATTTCACATTTGAGTTCTTTCAGAACTCTTGGGTGAATGCTGTCTGGTCCTGGTGACTTGTTACTGTTATGTTTATCAATTTGTTCCAAAACCTCCTCTCATGACGCTTCGATCTGGCACAATTCTTCCTATTTGTCACCTAAAAAGAATGTCTCAGGTTTGAGATTCTTCCTAACATCCTAAGTCATGA